GCACATATTTACACACCAAGATGCAAATGATATTTTGCTTATGTGACTCACAAATCATGATGAAGATGATTATATTGCTTGGCAACCAGAAACGAACAGATTTTTCACTATCCACGGCGCGTACCGGCTAGCCATGGACGAAAAGATGTTTGAGATGATTGGGTCCAGCCACAATATCTCAGGGGATCGTAGTATTTGGAATAATATCTGAAAAACAAATGTTTTCCCCAAAAGCGTGTATTTTTACATGAAGACTAGCAATTGAATCCCTTGCAGTTCAAACTAACAGATATCGATGCATCCCAGGTCTCACTCCGATTTGTAATGTATGTGGTGCTGATGATGAGACGGGCTTCCATGGGCACACCGATGCAAGTTTGCGAGGGCCCTTTGGCATGAGTCAAAGGACGTGTGGAATCTCCCGCAAGCATGAAATAAACTACACTAGAAGGGATTGGATCCTGGTCCTCCTAGACAAAGTGAGCGAAGATCCAAGACAAAAATTTATGCTATTCGAGTGGTGTGTGTGGCATCATAGAAGTGATGCGATCTTTGCAAAAGGTAAAGAAAAAAATTTCCCATTCTGCTCGATTTATGCAAAACTACCTTGTAAACCTCTGCATGATTGTGGACGGAAATTCTAAGATAGATCGAAAAGGGAAAAGTCACATGGTTAAATTACCAAACTTGGAACAACATGATAATACAAAGAAAAACTATGGCAGGAACATAGTCTTGGTTGGGCCAAGGTCAACGTTGATGGAAGTTTCTTGGAGGAAAGCAGGAGTGGAGCGTGGGGCGCTGTGGTTTGGGGTCATGATGGGAGAATTATTAGACTGCTTGGGACTATATACCGCGCTGCAATGGAGCGAACTATGAGGAAGCCATTGCTTGCCTAGAAGGATTGCAAAAAGCGGTGTTGGGTACTGATCTACCTTTAATCATCGAGACAGATTGCAGCTCGGTGAAGAAGGCACTCAACCCCTCGTCTGTTGGTAGGTCAAAAATTGGAGCAATTGCGAAGGAATTTCAAGCAAGGAAATAGAGAAGTTAAAGTTTGCAAAGCAGATAGAAGGGACAATAGTTTAGCTCATAGTCTTGGTCAGTTCGGGCGAAGAGTGTTGTATGGTGGGGTTATGAAAGGTATAGTACCAACCTATGTGTTGATTGTGGCCTTGCACGATTGTAAGAACAATGCTTCCCCTACTTAATTATACAACTCTCTATAAAAGTACTCTACTATGAGCTACTAGTAAAATGGAGAGAACGACGTGCTAGCTCATCGGCAGCTCCAATAGTTCCGGTGCATTAGACGACCTAACAAGGGGAATGTAGCGCGACCTCGTGCCTTCATCGAGGATGTGTCTGGTGAGCTCGAGTGCCTCCACCGTCAGTGATGAGGCAGCCAACTACGCTCCCTGCTGCCAGATCTGACCGGATTAGGCCCAAGTCAGGCGTGGTCGTCTCGTTGCACTAACACCATGGCCATCACGTGTAGTGGATTTCAAGGGCACGGCCGTAGTTGCCATCCTGTGTGTCGACTCTGCGGTCGTTCG